ATTTAGGGATGGGTATTGATAAGCCTTTAACGATTCCGATTCCATTTTCGATTCTGTTTAACGATTCGATTCCTTATCGATTCTTTTTTTTTAAAAGGAGAACACTAAGGTCGATTAGCTTAGAACTGTGTTTTATATCTTCTCTTTGAACAAGATAGAAATTTAGGAGTAACATGGCCTTACAAACCCAACAGTGAGATCTTAAGAGATCCACAGCCTACGGCTCTTCAATGGGGTGTCACAGGGTCCCCAGGAAAAAAAATGTATATGTAAAATAATAAAATAAATATTCTCCTGTAGCAATAACAAAGTTTAACATAAATTATTCTGTAGCAATTACACAAGAATATCCAGTAATGTCCTGCCTACAATTAAACACATTCACTTACCAAAGTGAAATCGGGGGCATCTGCTGTGGCAAATGGGTGCAAGCCTTTGACCACAAACTTAGACACTGCTCAGTGACATTCGTCTATCCTGGCCTGAAAGGAGACGCTACCGGTAGACTGCAGCGAGAACTGCCAGCATCTGAGCCAGCCAGACTCTGTCTCTCTCATCATGGTTATCTAAATGCAACGCACAGTAATAGCAGGTTTTGTAATAAGGTAAATCGCGCTAACATAATGTGCAATGCTAATTGATTAGTTACCTGCAGTATTAACGGGAGAGGACGTGGAAACGCTACCGCTGCTGCTGGGTTGAGCTTCGCTAGTCCGGAGCGGATCAAAAACACGACATTCGTTGAACGCAATCGCGTGTTTTTTGAGCAAATGCTTTTGCATGTTCGTAGTGTTTCCTCCCTTTGATGAAATCTCTACTTTGCAAGTATTGCACGTTGCCCTGTTGTCATCCTTTCTCATAAAGTGTAACCAAACTTTTGAGCGTTTGTGCCGCTCAGGCGCCGTGTTTCCTACTGGGTAAAAGACGCTACTCAACGTGATGACGTCATTCGGGGCGACTGGAATCGATAAGGGAATCGTTTATAAAAGTGGCAAATGATTCCAAGGAATTGAAACAGTGGGAACCGGTTCTCAACAAGAACCGGTTTTCGATACCCATCCCTAATCACATTGAGTGGCTGGCTGGTTTGACTCACACCCTTTACGCAGTCAGTTTCTGCTTTCTGGATGCCGGCCTTTAGTCCCAAAATGCAGGAAAAGCCACGCTTTGCTCCAGCAGCCATCAATCAACCAAATAAAAATAAAAAAATTTTAAACCCACATGATTATTTACACTTTGTTATGCTGTAAATGAGTTATCTGTTGTTTGTTGTCTGTGTTTAAAAAAAAAAAAAAAAAAAATGTGAGCCAGCCCAAATATGGAACTGATCACACCTTGTACTTGGGGGACAAACTAGACATATTTCTAACTTGTGACCTTTTTATCCAAAAGTTAACTTCAGTTCAGTTGAATAAGCTTGTACTTTAAAATCCCTTTAAAAATCCTTTGCAAAACTGTCCTCCATGTAAAGATGAACCTGAGCTGCTGCTGAAAGCAGGATCAATAAAGTATTTACGCAAGCGAAAACATGCGAGTTTTGATTGGCACGAGGACGCCAGCAGTTCAAAACCTGCGTCAGAGCTTCTGAAGAGAGGAGCAACAACACAATCATGCAGGCTCATCCACAGCACATCTGCAGCACGCTCATTTCTGCTGGATTCACTTGTCATTAAATTATAGGCTGAAATGTGGTCAGTGGGTCACGGGGGTATTTTCCTTTTCCTTATTTATTGTTATTCATTCTTTGCATGCAGAGCACAGCTCAGTGAGACTTCCTGTTGTTGCTGTGCTGTCAGTACTTTGTGTGAGTCCTCAGCTCGCAAGCGGTCAACACCAGTCATGAGCCAAGTGGGCCATGGTGGCATGGGACTTTACATGCAACAGCTCTGGTGAAGCGACAAGAATGATGGTTAAAAAAAAGACTCAATGAATAGCAGAAACAGACAAAAAATTACCAAAAAAAACCTGATAAAAACATCTGTCACAAAGAGAAAGTCATCCTTAATACAAAGCTCTGCTCATGTTTGTCACTGGCCTCGAAAAGCTAACCAATTTGCCGTAATAACACAGCACAAGGTGGCTGTTTGCAATCTGAAAAGGGAAGCTCGCAAGCTGTCAAAGCAAAATCTTATAATTACTACTTTTCTGGGAACAAAATGCATTCAAAGCTGAAAACTGTATTTCAGACGTATGTTCTTGGGGACCTTGAGTAAATATTTTCCATCTCTGTTTTTCGAAAATGTTCGACATTATACGCAAACGGTTTGGCATCCCAGCTCCTCACGGAGTAACTAAAGCCAACAAAACGGAGCCATTTTCATTATGACGCATAAATGGGTTCATAATAAGCAAGAAATTAAAGGTCATATGACAATCCACAGCTCCTCTTTCAGTGAATTCTGTCAGTTAAGCATTCATACTAATGCTCGGCATTCAGGGGAAAAATAGCTTTGGCTCTTTGTTGGAGTGGTTTATACAGAGCTCCAGGCTGTAGTACCCAATAATGCAATCAATTTAGACAAACATTTCTCCTCATAGAAAAGCTTTTAAGCAAAAGCCTAATGGAAAAGATTCTAGCAATCTTTGAGAAATTACAGAGCTGAACAATTTTAAAATCTACAATGCATTTGATCAAATGCAAAAAAAAGTATCCTGAAAAACAGAGAGGAAAAGTCAGATAACACAAACCAACTTGTTAATCTGCCATGTAGTGACAAGAGGATTGCAATAACATGAGCAAATGAAACTTGATGCAGATCTAATGGACCAGAAACCAATAACCAAGACTAAAATAATAACAACACAGCAAGTGACACCTTTGAATTCCCACATTAATTTCCTCATGTCATTTCACACGAGCTCTCTAAAGCGTTTGATCAACACACTTTACATTCGGAACAAAGTTTTGCTTTCCCTCGACAATCCAAAGGACGTGTACCCCGGGGGGGGGTCCCATTTCACTGCAGGGCAACCTGCATGTGGCGAATAAAGCTTTGATTGATTGATTGGTTATTTCAAAAGAATCAATGATAGCGGCTCGCTTACTTTCTTAATCGCGAGCGGCGACGAGGCTTTTCCTGAAACCTGCACTGAGCCTTCCTTCATACATCTTCAATAAGTAAAAATCAATAAACCCTTGTCTCGTCTGAGCAAATTATCAGCAATAATTGGTAAGGAGAGACATGAATATGTTGTAGTCGAGCTCTGTAAGCATTGACTTTGATAAGAGCGTGAAGAAAACCGGAGTGTGTTTGAATGAAAGGCAGGAAAACAAGCTGATGACACATGTTTTGGTGATACGTGTGCAGGAGATACAAGGAGCAGAGCATTTTGTCCATTTTTTAAAACCCTATAGCTGTGTTAAAAACAGAGCATTACACTGGGAACGGTTGTTCAGCTCCATGTATATATAAAGTCCCAAAATGACATTACACAGAAAAGCTTCTCATCTCTGCACGCACACATAAACAAGCAGAAACATTCCTTTATCACTCACTGCCAAGCTGCCACATAACATTAACTGTGGAACAAAAGCTTTTCTGCTCCCTTTAGTGTGGAAAGCCATTTGTTGATTTTTCACAGCGTATCCTACGGCCCACGGGGCTTTAACTCGCACAATCATAATGATGTGTCATTTGCGCTGAAAATTATATCTCATTACGAATATAAGTATCCAGTTCAGCCAAGTCATTTATAATTCCACCCAAGACAGGAGTCATTTACTCATTAGAATCCATCTGTGGCTGTTTTGCAAACATTTATGTTCTTATATCTCAGAAGTTTCCAAAATTTTTTGCTTTTTTTTTTTAATTAATGAAACTTTCCCATGAGCTGAACACAGGCTGGACACCAAACCGCTGCAATTTTGTGTATGAAATCTAGAAGAAAAAAAAAATCACATTTAAAGGTTATAAAGTATCACAGTGAAAGTGCGCTGATGGCTTTGGAACATGTTCACGCAAATATAATGGGCAGTGCGCTCAACATAAATGAAATGTGGTGGTTGAAGGTAGCAGCGCCGAGCTTTTCAATCAATATCCCCGCCGCCAGTGAGGCCGGGGACCATTAGCACCAGTGAGCCAAGCAAAGTAACTCTGATGTGAAATGACAGGGGCTTTCACAGAAACCATCCTACCATTTCCCTCATTGTCATTCACACACACATAAACACACACACCCTACATTTCAGCCAGCCTCACTAGGCAACCAAGTGCACTCATACTGTTGTCTTGTTTCAGAAAAAATGGATTGATTGATTCATTTCTGTGGAGTCCTAAATTCACCTCCCCCTTGCTCTTCCTCTTGACATCTCATCAGACTCCTAATCAGCCAGAATCTGAGCTACTTGGCTTCTAGGATGCTCTGACATTAATGCTCTCCATACCACAGAAACAATATGATGTTAAAGTTGGCAATACATACTAAAAGTGCATGAACATTCAGCATCTCAGTTCTTTTTAAACTGTCACTTTTTTATATAGTTTTTGTAGTGTGCTATGTTAAAAACAAAAGCAGCATTGTCTTTAATATGGGTGTTGCCTCATATAAGTAATGAGCATAATTCCTGTTTAAAGGCTGGTGCATAGTGCACTGGGTTAATATGTGTTGCCTAGTATACATACAGCTGGTTTCACGTATAGCTTTGAATAGTGCAGCTCTTTTCCAGGCTGTAAAATTCAAAATCTGAATCCAAGCTTGTTTAAGGATGAATTAAATACTACACATCCGATTTTATTTAAGTTAATTAGAAACTGACTCATGCTTACGTTTTCGTTGATGTTATTAACTGATAAAAATATATGTTTATAACCCACCTACGTGCTGTGACCCTCATCACCCACTTGTATATCTTGATGCCAGTGCATCCAGCTGCTTATTCCTGCAGCTTAATTGCATGCCAAGTGAGCACAGCGGACAAAGGAGGCGGGAGGACGCCTTCCTTTCCACTTTCACATCAAACTTTATTTTCGTCGTACTGAATCATGCTGACACTGCCCTACCTCTCCTCTCCTGCTCTCAGCCCCGGGTCTGGTGATGAGCGCCGTGTCACCGCACACCACGGCCGCGTCCTCCACGAACACGCAGTCCGGGAGCGACTCGTCCGCGGGGAGCTCGACCACCTCCAGCCCGAGCCTCGTCCTCAGGACCTCGACGTAAGCCTCTTGCTCCTTCACCGCCTTGGCCAGGTCCACCTCCGTCTGGCTGCTCCGCAGCGCTTCTTTGGCCAGGGACACAGGGATTCCCCGAACGACGGCGTGGGTGTAATGACCGAAACCTGCCATCAAACCAGCCATGTTTTGCGTTCCCTTTACTTGGCACGTTCAAATCTGGAGAAAAAAAAAAAACACCCTGAGAGACAACTCGGCGAATGAATGAGAGAGAAAAATACTAGAGTCAGCTGACTCGATAATTCCTAGCTTGCTTATTTGTTCCCTGTTAGTTTGTTGGGCTTTTATTCTTTATTTACAGTAGCCTGCTGCACACAGTGTCAGTCAGCCCTGCTCCAGTCTCCAGGCGAGCGACAGCGCTTCGGTGACGCGCACCGACCATCACGTGTAGCCTGAGTCTGTCAGCCCTCAGCCAGGCGCTCAGCCCAGGACCCCATGAGCCTATGGCTCAATCAATTATCCACTGGATCAACAGAGCAAAACCTGATAGTAAAACCCGAGTTGACAGTCTATTCAAATCATTAACAAGGAAAAATACAGGTTCCATATCTCTGTAGGGACAAATCAGAAAACAAAACAAAAAGGGTTTGTTAGATTTTTTTTTTTGCCAAGGAAAATGCAAAACACTACCCGGATGTAGCTTTTCAGTTATAGAAGGACATACATTTCCCTTCATATGTGGTTGTAAATAATGCTGTGGACTGTTGGCTGGTCAATTAGAATCAGAATGTCTTTACTGTCTTTGTCACAGGTACAACGAAATTAAAAGTGGTCTGCGATCAGTGCATCATCCATAGAAATATAAAAATATAAATAAATAATAAAATGAATAAATGGAATACTTAGACCAGGGGTGGGCAATTCCAGGCCCCGAGGGCCGGTGTCCTGCAGGTTTTAGATCTCACCTTGGGTCAACACACCTGAATCACATGATTAGTTCGTTACCAGGCCTCTGGAGAACTTCAGGACATGTTGAGGAGCTAATTTAGCCATTTAAATCAGCTGTGTTGGTTCAAGGACACATCTAAAACCTGCGGGGACACCGGCCCTCGAGGCCTGGAGTTGCCCACCCCTGACTTAGACCATTTTAGCTTGTTGGTGTTCCTGTTAATAACACATTACAGTTATGTGGGGGGACATTTCACAGGATGCAGTCCTGTGAAAAACTATGTCCCATACTTCCAGGGTAATTATGAGGGTAATCAAATTTGATTCGCACTTGATTTGATGACCATCAGCAGAGGTGACTGTCTCTACAAAAGCAGACGTTCTGGCTGCTTGCTAGCTTGGAGCATTCAGGCCAATGCCGCAATTTTCTCGGAAGTGGGTATCCTGGAAAATTCACTTCAAGGTCAGACAGCGCAACGGTCAGAGAAACTGAAAACAAACAAAAATAACAAAACTAAATCCAACAGTCACGTCTCAGACTCAGTCAGCATGTGAAATGTTAAAGTTCATTATAGTACAGGAATGGCTCATTTGGACCTGGACACCTTGCAATCACCAAGGTGGCTATGAGCTCCTCTGTATAACAAAGTATTCTAGAGTCAAATGTGAGGCCATCTATGTGACAGCTAAAGTTTGCCTGAAATTGGGTCATTCAAAGGATAATGATCCCAAGAACAGCAGCAAATCTAAAACAGAATGAAAAACAAAAGAATAGAGGTTTTACAGTGTTCAAACATCAACCTGACTGGCAGGACCTTAAGAGAGCTGTCCATAAACATAAACCTCAACGCATAGAAGAAACAGTGTAACAGTGACGTGAGACGCAGAAAACGATTACTCCAAGTTATTACCGTAAAAATTGGTTCTAGGAACTACTGAATTATGGAAATGCTGTCATTGTTCACCACTGTATGTGGTGTTATTTCCTCTGATTATGATCCTCATTGTGGTAAATCGATATTTATATTAAACCTGCAGTAACTACTTTATGACTCCTCTTGGTGGTGCTTATCAAAGGAACAAGCAGAAAGTGAAGGTTAGTTAGTTGCACTGAAAAAGAGCATTTAGCATTTAATTTGGAATTTAAATGTAGGAAGAAATATTAAAAGCACAAAACTTTACTTGACTTTACTTGTCATCAATAAAAAAGCAATAAATAGTTGATCATCATGCCTTGAATGAAGAAAAACAAGCGTCTTTACAACACTGATGAGATTGCACTGACAGATTGATAATAAGTATTCCCGCATCTTCACATTTTAGGTGAAACAGCTCCACAGTGTAATGTCAGAAGAGGAGCTGCCAACAAAGTAAGGAATCTCCTTGACCTCAACACTAAGTTTGGTAATGAAAAAATAACTGTATCCCTGAGAAATACATTTCACAAAAGACCTTCACTACAAAAAGAATAGCGTGTGGATCTTGATAAAACTGGGAACATAAAGACAGATGAGTAGCAGATATCTATTTGATTCCCACACCATTCCAACTTGGGTCAAAATACATTTCGAAATGAAGGAAACGTGTGCACACCTTCATTCTTGAACTTGATATTCTTGAGACGTGTATCTGCTTTCATCTTGGCAGACTTGAAACAAATACTGCACACATAACTCAAAGGGAAAGACTATAAATATATAAAAAGAGAAGTTTGTTGTATGATATGTAGGGAAAGAAGGATTTGAAAGGAAGCTCACTGTTAAATGTGTATGTATAGAAGGAATGGTGCATGGGTGGAGGTGGGCTGGTGGAGTTGTATTCCCTACGGTGCCATCTAAGGAAGGTTCTGGGCCCGGTGAAGCTGTCTGAATGGATGGAATGTTTCTTCAGACGTCCCAGAAGCACATTCTTCCACTGCGGGACCTGGGTTTGTCTTTTCTTGTTCCAGATTCACTCAATTATCCTCGACTGCTCTAAACATTCCAGTACATTCCAGAAGCCCCGCATTCCTTCTTCTTTTTTCCCCACCCCAGCCAGGATCACCAACCACCACCACACTTGCCCAGCTTTAACACCTGCCCCCACTCAGACTTCTTTTTTCCCCTTCCCCATCATTCCTGATCGCAGATGGACGTGGCACAAAAGAAAGCCTCTTTTTTCTCTCTCCAAGCTGAGGAATTTGGCTTACTTTAGACGAAGGAAAGCCCTCATACTTCAGGCACACCTGGCTGGTACAATGTGCAGCTATATAGTCAAAATGGTGAAAGCAGACACGGATCTGAAGCGGCACAGCGGGCTGCGGAAGCAGTTATGATTGAACTCATCATAAGATCGTAGATGTCTGAAGTGACATGCATGATTACACAGGTGATCGAAGGATGTTTCACTCTCTGTGCCTAATTACAGAGAGTAATATAAAAAAAATTAAGTAATAGGATAAATTTCATACATAAAAATTGATCATTCTAGAAGAACAGCAATGGATATTCTATTTTACATAGCAGCTATACGAGTTTCCTGTGAATGAAACCTTTTAAACAGCATCAACAAGCCAAGTTTCACTGAAAGAAGAGGATGCAGTAACATTTATCATCATTTACTATAGTTAATCGACCATATACAGGCACTTACACCCACAGTTGAGCGCAATCAGCGTATTCAGGGAATTGGCCTTGAGATAGATAGATAATCCTTCAGGTATAAGTAATTGCTATTACACCAAATGTGTATTAGTTCACAGCCAAACATTGTTCCCAATAAATTTAGCGATGACTTCTACACTGGTGTAGGAAAAGACCCAGACACTCTGTCTGTTTGCACAGAATCTGTTAACGTTATCCGTCATGTTCATTACAATCAGAGCAGGCAGGTTGAGCAAAATCAGACACACCAGTACATTTAATCTCCTCATCGCGCAACAACTCCTGGAATGCACTAAACCTCAGAGAAATGTTAATGGAGCCAAGTATCAAAGAGAATTTTTACCTTGAACTTGTCTTAGCTATAATTAATTTAAGATGAAATGGAAGACATGTTTCCGTGTTATCAGATGTTTTATGTTTTTTGGACAAACAGGAGGTTCCTCTTTTGTCATTTGCTGACAGAGCCAGAAGGTTCTTAGGACTGCTGTGGAAATGGTCCGACTATATTTCAAGATTAGCATGTTCTCTGGCTTTGCTGGTTCACGCAGTAAATAACATTTCAACAGGAAGCAAAGTACGAGTATACAACAACGGGAGGAAAGCAAAGCTGGAGTTACTGTAAGTATTCAAATAGCCACTGGGGAAAAATGTGTGTTTTCACGCAAAACTGATGCGTCGCTGATGACTAAAAAAACAAGAATGCAAAAGACAAAAGATTCCTCCCATCTTTTACCAAACACAGAAATGCATTTGGATGTGCAAAGGAAATGACCTGTTATGGGCAACTACGTGATAATTAGCACCCTCGGTTTACTACATCTTTGTGCAATGTGAAACTACAGCAGATTACAGAATCAGAACATATTTCAGAGCACTAGTAAGCAAACAACAAAAAAGGAAAGCACAATCCAAATTATCATCAGACCCAAAATGAAATTATCTTTCGAAAAATATCCTTGAACAACACCATAGTGAACACTGTCTGTGCCAATATAACAATGATATAACAGTTAAGCACTTGAGGTCAACCTTCACTAAGCTGATTTCCTTCTTAATGAATCAGGAAGTCTGGTATCACAAAGTTACATCAGAAATTCGTGTGGAAGTGTGATCTCATGTGTTTGTCTTCTTGTGAACTTGTCAGATTTATATTTCTTCAGAACTGGACTCTGCGTTTTAATTGCTTGCTTAATCTAAGCAGCCATTCATATGCGAACAAGCTGTAACTCATCAAATTTCCTGCTTCTCCGTGAGCTGACAGAAGAAGGAAATGTTGCTAGTACAAACTGCATGCTAGTTATGACATCTGTCTTGGAATCTGTTGTTTAAACATGTAGATCCTGGTCCATCCGTGTCTTAAACATAAATAAGGAAGCTGAGGGCTGCCACCCGTCTAGACTTCCTGAAGGTCATGCAGTCCTGATGGGTTCTGATAATGGGCTTCCGTCACAGTGAGCCTTGGAATCTCTCAAGCATTGGTCAACGTTGAAACTGCTTAGACTTCCCAGCCAGAGGCTTTGAAGTCGCTCAGATGCAGAGCAGTGACAACAATCCAATCATCGATTCTGTCAAGAAGGAGAGCGAGTCCCTCATCATCACGAAGGTCAAAGGACCGTAATGTGTGTTGTTTGCGTGAGGGGCTCTCCGATGGCTTTAGTGGAAACTATTTGGCAAGGGCAATTACAACAAAAGACGCACATCCAGCTTTTGGAATGTTTCCTAAAATGAACGGGGAATAATGGAATGAATATTGCTGCGTGTTATTCTCCACTGACGTAAAATGAAAACACTGCTTCCCATCATTGTAACACTGGGACGGATGCAAACATGCTGTCATACACACACAGAGGTAGGCATAAAACCATTACAACACTAAAGGACAACTGAGAAGTGGACAATCAAACAAAGCAATAATATAAATGACCATTAAAGGAGTGTTCTCCCACTTCAGTGTTTATTTTTACATACATTTGTGGAATTAAATGCACGATTAAGCTTAAAAAAAAAATCAACTTTCCTCATCAAGCCTGCTTAACACACTGTGTCTTTATCCGGCCTAACCATGCTGGACGTGTGTTAGAGGGTCTCAGTGTGGGATATCTACGGTTGTCCTGAGAGGTCAAATGCACTGTAACTTAAGAAAACATCAGGAAATTTAAAAAGAAAATGACCACAAAAGCATACAAAACACAATGAAAACAGAAAAAATACAACAGAAGTTGACAAAAA